TGAAAGTGAAAAGTGAAAGTGAAGTCGCCCAGTCGTGTCCGACTCTTAGCGACCCCATGGACTGCAGCCTACCAGGCTCCTCCATCCATGGGGTTTTCCAGGCAAGAGTACTTGCCTTCTCCCCCCATTCAGCTAAACATTTCCAATTCCATTGTTTCTATGTATCATAAATATATAACACAAAGTCAGATACTAATCTTGTAATTCTTTATCAGTAGAATTTTCCTGTGTTAAGTGATACATCTATTTTAAAAAGTGTCAGTTCAGCTCTGGCAAATTCCTATACAAGTGGTAGAATTTACTGGTGTATTCTGAAAATAACACAGAATAAACAACCAAGAAAGAGTAATTCTACAATTGAGTTCAGATTACTTCCATTAGTTTTTAGTGTTTTTTGAGTTCTTTCTAGGGGATTAGATATTATATGTTTTGCTTAATATTAGAAATGCTCATTTTAGGTTTTATTTCAACAGTCTAGGAAAAACAACAAAACATAGAATATTTATTTCTATTACAAAAGCCACATCAGAATAGAGAATGAGGTGACTCTAACCATTCTATTTAAATTTATAACCCATCCCCCTAAGTGCAGATTCCTGGCTCCTTACACTGTTGTTTTTATCCGTTAGTACTTCTAGCTGTCTAACTAATTGTATGTGTGTGTGGCTGCTCAGCCACCCAATCATGTCTGACTCCACAACCCTAAGGCCTGTAGCCCAGCAGGCTACTTTGTCCATGAAACTTTGCAGGCAAGAATATTGGAGTGGGTTGTCATTTCCTACTCCAGGGGATCTTGCCTACACAGGGACTGAACCCATTATCTCTTGCACCTCCTGAACTGGTAGGCAGATTCTTTACCGCTGTACCCCCTGGGCTTCCCAATGAATTACATATCTGTTTAGTAAGTTTAATTGTTAACTCCTAGTCTCTCTCCCTAGAATAGAAGTTATTCAAAGGCAGGAATTTCTATCTGTTCTATTCAATGACTTATCCTGAGCACCAAGAACAACCTGGGACTATAAGGATAAAATAAGGTAAAAATCTGTCAAAGGAATGAATGCATAAGTAGTTAAGATGAGTAACCTACTGTATAAGGGAGAAAACACATTGCCTGAAGATCTTGGCTGTAAAGATAAATATCTAATATAACAGTAACACAAATACATTGTTTAGGTGCCAAAAGTCAAATATAAATAAGTTCCATTAGAGACTCTGTCCACAATAAGCATGAAATTCATCTCAGAAGACAACTGAATGACCTAACAGTTATCATAAAGTTTTTTGTGATCAATTGCTAAGTGAATGGTATAATTGAAGGGATAGGACTTTGGGCTCAAGAGAACTAAAAAGGCATTTCAGATAAGGAAAGCAAAGGAAAGAAATTTGAGTATTTTTGGTAGACAAGTACAAACAAAGCATATTCACTCAGTTATTTATTTATTCTGTCAACATATTTTAATTATGCTTTTTCTGTGTATCTGACACTGGTCTAGGTACCAGAGATGCACAGAAGAATGGTTCCTACCTTTCAGCCTCACAATTTAGTGAGGGAGAAACATATAAATAAATTTGTAGCAAACAGTGTTAGAAATATATACAGCACTTTGGGGAAACAGGTACTTCGCTCCAAGAAGGTCACAGAAAGTGTGAAAGAAGTGTCCCTTAAATTTGAGGGATGAGCAAAAAGAATTTACCAGACAGACTAAAGCATTTCATGCAAGGAACTGCAAACAGAACACAGAGGCAGAAGATGATACCTAGAGATGATGCTGGAATGGACAACAAGGATCAGAATATGAAGGGCTTTAAATGCCATGCTTGAGAAACTCAATCTAGCCAGTATATCAGAGTTCCTTAAAGTGTGGTCCATGGATCACCAGCACTAGAATCATCTAGGGCAGAAATTTTCAAATTGTACTTTGAGACCCAGTGGTCCTAAAATTAATTTAGTGGGTTAACTAAGCATCTTCTTAAAAAAAAAAAAGAAAAGAATTGGAATGGAACGGAACAGAACAGATGGAGGGCATATTGCATGTACTAAGAGTTTAGGGCCACTGGTCATAATTTACTGGATTGGACATGCTTTTTCTATAAAAAAAATAAAATGAAAAGGAACAGATTAGACAGTATATTACATGAAGTAACAATATTGCTTTTTTTTAAAATCTATGTGTGTATCTATTGAGTAGAGAAATAAAATCTATTTCCTACTATGAGTTGTAGTTAAGAAACATGGATCTAGATTTTTTTTTAAAATGCAGCGCTCAAGGCCACACCAGACTATCAAATTAGGGAAAATATGGCCTGGATTCTACATTTTTAGCAAGTACTAAGGGGGCGCTACACACATTCAAATTGAGAGTCACTGGTGTCGATGATGTGGAGCCACTGAAGGATAATAAGCACAATTCTGAAATGATTCATACTGGTTTCAGAAGAATCTTTCTGGATGTAGGGTGTATAAACTGCCAGAAGGGTGATCAAGACCAATGGTGGTGAGAACAGAGGAGGCTGACTGAGAACTGGTCAGGGTAAGTGAACAAAGCAGTTTTTTTGGAATAGAGTAACAGTGGAAGAGAAGGTAGGAAACATGTTGGAGCTACATGTGGATCTGGAATACAGTAACAGTGGAAGAGAAGGTAGGAAACATACGTTGGAGCTACATGTGGATCTGGAATAGAGTTAACAGTGGAAGAGAAGGTAGGAAACATGTTGGAGATACACGTGGATCTGGAATAGGGTTAACAGTGGAAGAGAAGGTAGGAAACATATGTTGGAGCTACATGTGGATCTGGAATAGAGTAACAGTGGAAGAGAAGGTAGGAAACATATGTTGGAGCTACATGTGGATCTGGAATAGAGTAACAGTGGGAGAGAAGGTAGGAAACATGGTGGAGCTACATGTGGATCTGGAATTGAGTTAACAGTGGAAGAGAAGGCAGGAAACATATGTTGGAGCTACATGTGGAAAATTTCCAATTTAAGGCCATTTAATTTTTAGACTATTTAAGGAACCACTGGAACTTTTTAATCACAGTAATATGCTAAAGCATTGTTCTAAGATTATTTTAATGGGGGCAGGGAGTTAATAAAGCATAGTTGAGATAAAACCATGCACCTGAGAGCCAAGGTAACTGTTTTCAAATCCTAGCTCCACCAGGTATTATTTCCTTAGGATAATTTTCAAAAGTAGAAAATTTCTGGGTCAAGAGTATGCTCATTTAAAATTCTGATTCATTGCTAAAGTAAAAGGCCAACTTTTAAATTAAAGAGGCCATCTAGCCTAGGCGTAGTATGAAACAGGCATAATGTAGTACAAAACAAGGAGCTTATAAATAATAGCTACCAGTTATTAAGTATTATTCGTATGTCAAAGAGTAAATGTTAAGTAACTCGTGTATACTATTTTATTTTATCATTACAGCACTGCTTTACAGCAGAGAAAACCAAAGCTTTGGTTACTTAACTTTCCCATGTCACACAGTATATACCAGGGGCAGAGCTGGAATTCAAACCCAAATCTTCTTCCAGTAGAAACGGTATGAAAAAAGCAAAATGCAGAATGGCAGATGGGCCACTGCTGAAGCATTTTTTTTCTTTTTTGTTTTTACTAATCCAGAACAAGGCTTGGTGTTAATAACATGTACTTATATGGCACTTAGAACAGTTCCTAGTACATAATAAGTGCTTCACATATTTTATTTCATTTAATCCTTATGACAACCTATGAGATAGGTACTATTATTATCTCCATTTTATAAATAAGGAAGTGGAACATAATCAATTTAAGGAAAAAGCATCACACAAGAGTTCAAAGTATATATTCAATTGAGCTTTTTAGTAAATTGAAAATAACTTAAATGTTTATTAATAGATAACAAGATCAAGAAATTAAAGCCTAACTAAGCCACAGAATACTGTTAAAAAGCAAAACAGATTTATAAGTATGGATATGGAAAGTTATTTAAGATATATTCCTGAGTAAAGAAAGAAATAGTAGATTAGGAAGTGCAACATGATTCCATTTATATTAAAAAATGTATAAATACAGGACACATGTAAAAAGGAAATTCTAGAAAAATTTTCATCAAATTTAACTGTAGTCTCTTACAGTGAGTAATACTGAAGAGGAAGAAAGGGACTTTTGCTTTTTGCATTATACTAAATAGTATGAAAAATAAAGATCTAGTATAAACATCTGAGAAAAACACAAACCAACACTATAAGGATATTTTAAATATCCTTATATTTAAGGATAATTTTAAAATTTAATATAAAAAATTTAAATAAAAATTTTAAATAAGGATATTTAAATATTTTAAATAAAAAATTAAAGAAATCTATTCTTTGAAAATTGTATAGCTGTTCAATACCTGAATTACGCATATTTAAGTGACTGCAGATGATTTTACAAAGGAGACTACTATGGTGCAGGATGTCAGCAGCCCTCACCTGTCCCGTAGCAATTGTGGCACAGTTACCAGGTGCTACACCAGACAGCGCCATCCCCAATAAAATCTACTACACAGTAAATTTCTAGTAGATCCACTAAACAAATACACTAGGAAGATATTTTACATGGCCTCTACTATTTCTATACTACTATTTCTAAACTACTTCATCACTGAATATGCCTTGAGTTAAATGCATTCCAATACCTTATAACCACAGTGCCTATTCAATATTCAGCAAGGGGAGTATAAATTGCTGGTATGGCAAAAGGAAGGCCACATTCAAAGAGAATCAGAATATTTTTGAGAAGATTTTATTACAGAAAACAATGACACTTCACAAAGCCTTGTCTACATAAGAATTTTTTTTCAACACTAAAGCATTTTAAATATATTTCATTCCTCAGATACTGGTGCAAGACAAGTATGTAAGTGAACACAGAACTTAAGACAGCTTTTAAAACACAGGTTAAAGATACAAATAGAAATCACTTAACACAAATAACTAAATATCCAAATAATATAAATAATTAAATCAAACATACTCACCATTGAAAGGATTGATTCCTGCCCTTATTCTTGAAATAATAGCTTCTTTTACTTCTTTTTTTTTCACACATCGAATACCCAAATTTTGAAAACTAGAAGGGAAACACAAAACTTTCAAACTTCTTTGGAGCTAACCCAGGGACACATACATGAGATTTTATTAAAGAATACTGCAAAAATCAAGCATATATCCAACACTGAGGAGTCATAATAATGTCAGATGGAGATATTTAAAGCATGAAATACATTTCCAATTCCTATGATAAAGATGTGAGGATAAAAAATGGGGTTATATTTATAAGAGAACTGTTAAGAGAAAAGTAATATACACTATAGTACTTTTATATACAGTGTTTTACAATTATACTTTACTAACATTCCTGCATCAAACATATCAAAGTAGACAAAGATTAATAGGAAGCAACACCAAAAAGGTAAAATTCACCTCCCTGAAAAATTCATAATCAAATCAATGAAATCTGTACATTTGATAATATAAAGCAAAAGTTATAAAAAGTTGCCCATAGGCTGACCCCTACATGTATAGTTTTGCTGAGCTCATAAAAATGCTGACTACATGTTCTTTAAATGTGTGCAGACTACCAACATTTAAAAATCAGGTAACTGCATATAAACATTCCTGCTTTCTCTTGAATATCTTAAAGGTCTGGCAACAGTAGACTGGCACAGAAACACCGGCCTGGAGCTAAGTACCTGCGGCCCCATTCACACAGGGTTCTCCAGTTGGCTGCAGTGCCTGCTAGTCCTCTGATACCTCAGCCTCTCCACTCCACAGACATCTGGTTTCTGACTACAAATGACTTCACTACTAGCAGCACTGGAATATGTTTTATGCCTTATCACATGAAGTTATAATAATCGTTTATCATAAGAAAGCATCAAACTATGTATTTTTTCATTAGACAGATATTTAAAACTAACAATAATATTTAACCAGAGTTTCAAAATGTCATTTATGGAAAATTTCTCAACAGCTACAAATATTACTAATTTGCATATGTGTAGTACAGATGATGGTGGGGGGAACTCCCCTACCACCACTAGTCATACTTGTTCCCACATGGAAAAACCATGACATCATTACAATTGGGTGGGTGTGAATAAGGAAGCAAAACTTGGTTATAATAACATTACTATTTGCTCAAACTTCACATGGCCCTTGGCAACAGGAGGTCACTTGCCGTGTTTGCCCCCTTTATGCTCTGTTGTCTTATTGTTCATGCTTTTCATATTTACCACCCTTGTGATTTTTAACACCTAAAATATCTTTAACACTTCCTTCTTCTGCCTCCAAAATTTAAAAAAAAATCTTGAACTTGTAATCCTTTCTTGAACCCTAAAACCATATTTCTCTTCAAAAGTATTCCACTTTTTTGAAAGATTCTTAGGTTGGTTCTCACTTTTTCTTTGACAAAAGATTTTAAAGGACTCTTTGAAGATATTTACACACTACGTGATTGTTTCATCTGAATAATCCTATTTGAGTGCTATTCATACATAAATTCTGACATAAGGAAACCATGATCACAGAGATTACCTGAATCAATTATTCATTCATTCATAGTCATTCAACAAGTTCTGGAGTTCCTACTATGTATCAAGGACTGTGATGAGTAATGGGAATATACAATCCCTCCTCTCATAGAGCTCACAGTCTAGAGCAGGTGTAAAGAGTTTGAAGGGGCGTGTGTGTGTGTGTGTGTGTGTGTGTTAGTCGTTCAGTCCTGTCTGACTTTTTGCAACCCCATGGACTATAGACTGCCAGGTTTCTCTGTCCATGGAATTCTCTAGGCAAGAATACTGGAGTGGGATGCCATTTCCTTCTCCATTGAAGGGGCTTGCATTGGTCAAATTTGTGTCAACATGAAAATCAGAATAATAATGCTAGTAACAGACTAGCATTCAATTATAAGGCATTGACTACAAGAATCCATGAGTCTGGACTTCTCTCGTGGTTCAAAATCTGCCTGTCAATGCAGGAGACACGGGCTGGATCTCTGATCTGGGAGGATCTCACAGGCCATGGAGCAACTAAGCCTGTGTGCCACAACTACTGAGCCTATGCCCCAGAGCCCAGGGAGCTGCAACTACTGAAGCCAGTGCTATAATCTGTGTCCCACAACAAGAGATGCCCACACATCACAACTAGAGAGTAGCCCCTGCTCTCCACAAACAGAGAAAGCCTGTGTGCAATGAAGACCCAGCACAACCAAAAATAAATAAACAAAATTATTTGTCAAAAAAAGAATCCATGAGTCTATACTGGTATTTTTTCAACTGAGGCAGGGGAATACGGAGAAGTTTTTCTTTATAATAGAATGCCAATTAATATCACCAATGGGAAAAAACTAGCATCACCATCTCCTGAAGTGTTACTCTGAGAACAATACAGCATCACTTCTGTAGATTTCTCATCCAAAATATTTCATGTTAACATGAACACAATCATGAGCAACCACTCATACTAACCCACATTGAATAACATTCTTCAAAACTAATATTCTTCAAAAATGTTAATGTCATGAAAGACCAACACAAGTTGAGAAAATGTTTTAAATTAAAGGAGACTAAATAAGCATGACACCTAAATACAAGGTATGATCCTTAACAGGATTTTGGATTGAGGGGCAAGGTTCAGTTCACTTCAGTTCAGTCAATCAGTCGTGTCTGACTCTTTGCGACCCCATGAACTGCAGCAAGCCAGGCCTCCCTGTCCATCACCAACTCCCAGAGTTTACCGAAACTCATGTCCATTGAGTCAATGATGCCATCTAACCATCTCATCCTCTGTCATCCCCTTCTCCTGCCTTCAATCTTTCCCAACATCAGGGTCTTTTCAAATGAATGAGCTCTTCACATCAGGTGGCCAAAATACTGGAGTTTCAGCTTTAACATCAGTCCTTCCAATAAACACCCAGGATCAGTTTCCCTTAGGAGGCACTGGTTGGATCTCCTTGCAGTCCAAGGGACTCTCAAGTCTTCTCCAACACCACAGTTCAAAAGCATCAATTCTTCTGCGCTCAGCTTTCTTTATAGTCCAACTCTCACATCCATACATGACCACTGGAAAAACCATAGCCTTGACTAGACGGATCTTTGTTGACAAACTAATGTCTCTGCTTTTTAATATGCTGTCTAGGTTGGTTGTAACTTTCCTTCCAAAGAGTAAGCATCTTTTAACTTCATGGCTGCTCTAAAGGCATTATTGGGCATCACCGGACATAAATAAGGTAGTCCAAAAATCGAACTGCCTATACCTAAGGTTGACAAAGAACAGCCAGAGAAATAAGAAGTAAAACAGAAGAGTTTGTTCTCACTAAATCAGAAAACAAGGAGCAATTATGTTTCAGTAAGCGAGTAATCTACAATGTAAAACATTGGGAGGTAAAATAATATAAACAGGAAGTATTTCTTGCCAAGTTTGTATAACCAGATAGTTTATGCTTTGTGCTGTTACTATAGTTTATGCTTTGTGCTGTTACTAAAGTATATTTTCTAAATGGTTACTAATTGTATTTAAGGAGGCTACTAATCTTTTCCTGTTGCAATCAGTTTCATTTTTTTCTCAGAAGCAATACATGTTCATTATAAAAAAGAATTATAAAATAAACATCAGTTAAAAGAAAAACATAAAACCCCACAATTCTTCCTACCCAGAGACAACTGCTATCAACATCTTAGTGTTTAAACTACCATGTATATGTATACACTTACTTTTGAAAAACTAACAAAACTATCATTGTTGACCAATGATACTCCAATGTAAAATAACAATTTTTTAAATTATTTATCACACTTCATTGTAAAGCCTTATTTTATCTAAATATCAGGAATATCTTTTTATACAAAGACATTTTTGCAATGTTATTTTTAAGGCTACATAGGAGTACACTGCATGGAGGTGCCAGTTTAACTAATCTCCCTGTTTATAATCTGGATTGCTTCTAACCTTTTGCCTTTACAAAGCTTCGATGAACATCATTACAGCTAAGTTTCTGAACATACTTAATTAGAAATTGTTTCCTCAAGATAAATTCCTAGAAGTAGAATTGCTAGTTCAAGAGACATACATATAATTTCAGGCTTTGCTACATAAAGTGCCTACCAGAAAGATTTCATTTATTTACACTTTCACCAATAGGATGAAAATGAACCCAGCAGCCTCAAACACAAAGTGCTATATATTTTTTTAATTGTATGTTAATTTTATACTGCCTTTTTCAAATAAAAATTCCAGTTTTCCAGGTGATTTTTTTCTCATCTGACAATTTTTAAGTTAGAGAAAACATTTCATAAATTGTTCAAACTAAGAAAGAAAATTGCAGCATAAAATAAGTTTATGTTTACTTTTAGTTACAATAAAGAAGTACTCCTACTACCATCATGGGCTGTGTCTACTAATAAAAAATGAAAGGGTAGTTCTAATGCAAATGGTAAGAGAATGCAAATATATACTACAGTAAATAGAAGTACAGTGAGGAATTGGTTTATTCTGCCAAAAAGTAACAGAGATACATAGATAGGAAATAGGAGAATCCTATTCTTATACTATTCCTAAAAATGTCTGTGACTGTGTACTTACAACAAAGGCCTGCGTTCTTGCCCAAATTCTGCTTCATAGTAGCCATCTCTGCAGTCTTTTCCTACTAAATCATGAGGATGAGGTTTATATGGGTCATTCTTTGTTACTAATGTAATTCTCACTTTTAATTTTCCATAATAGTTCGAAATCTGAAAAGGGGAAAAATTAAATATGTGATCCATAAATATGTCTCACCAAGAACTGAATTATAAAATTTACATCAGTATCAGAATTTATATCAAATAGTTCAATTTACATCATATAGTTAGCACTGGATAAAGTACAACTGACTGGCAACTGTAGTATGCATGAAACTTTCCAGAGAATACCAGTAGGGAAGAATTTACCTCTCAGTTCCTTGGTATATCATTTTGTACCCTAATTTCAACTGGTTATATCATCTGATTTTGCTTATTTTCCTTTGAAAACAAGTCAAAGTATTCCAAAATATTATCACAGTGGATGAGGAAATTCTAAGATGCTGAGTCACTGAATGCCATGCTGCTATATTCATTGCCATACCATAAACATCCCTTCAAAGTACATATTTAAGCGACAGTGGAAATGATAGTACATAAATATGATCACTTAAGTAACTTAATACATGACATTTCATTTCACAAAAATATGTGTTAATCAGTAAGCATATCCCAAGTGTTCACTGTATAACAGGCAATAAATCAAGCTGAGTTTTGAAAAATTAAGTTTTCACACTGAACACTGAGAATGAAGAGAAGAGTTAAACATGGGAGAGGAAGGAGGATCTTATGGGAAGGAGTTAATATTTACTTTGGAAGCTAGCAAATTTGTAAGCACAAAGCAGGAAACATGAGAAACCAGTATACACGGAACAAGGCAGTTAAGGAGAAATGGGTGGCTTCACAGGTAAAAGGGCATTAAAATCCATAACTATGAATTTAAACTTAATTTGAACAGTAATCAGAAAGTATTTATTGCCTTTCTGAATAAAAGAGAAAGTAACAACTTAAGACTGTAAGGTTGGGAATTCCCTGGCAGCCTGGTGGTTAGGATTCTGAGATTCCACTGCAAGGGGCACAGATTTGATCCCTGGTTGGGGAACTAAGATCCTGCAAGCGGTGTAGTGCAGCCCAAAAAAAGCAAAAACAAAGTGAAAGGTAGGCTAATGTAGAACTCAAGCTGCAAAATGGTTTAGAACATGTTGTAATGGCAAGGATACAGATTATAGAAATATTCAAGAGACTATATAGAATAAGTTGAATTATGGAGAAGAGTTAAAATTGCTCTTAGAGGAAAGGATTACTGTTTTCTTATTTACTTTTTATTAATATCTCTCCCATTTTAATATTTAAAAAAAGACAGAAATCCATAACCCAAATCCATATTGCTAACAAAAAAATGTGATAAAAAAATGGAATTTGGAATTCAATATGTAATTTTAATACTAGTTTGTTATATAACTTAGCATTTTCTTAAAGTCCAATAGAGTAAATTTTGTAAATAATGTAGTTATAAAACAGTGGATTAAAATCTACTGATGAAACATTGAATAATGCTTTTCAAAATGCACTCTGCCATTAAGGTTTTAAACTGGCATTTAAAGAATAAAAAAATCATTAAAAATGGAAGGAAATGTAATATACAAATATAAAATATAAATACAGTATAGTTTATAAATACATTATATTACCAAAGTCATTCTGGATTATGAAATTACTTTCAAATTTTATGCTAACATGAAAACACTGTATTTAAAAACTGACAATATTTCAAGTCAGTCAAGGCAACCCAGAGTATCAGAGACAGGCAATAAAGGTAAGGAGAAAAAAGGCAAAAATGTTTTCTTCTTCCATAGCCCCTAGATTCGCCAAGTGACTGCAGGAAGAAGTCTAAGTCAGTTCCCAAATACATGTTTTCAATCTCCAGAACAATTCTGCCCACCTCTGGAAAGAGAGAAAGCTTTTTCCTCATTACCTTTTTGTCCCACGAAAGGGATAATCATCCAAAAAGTTGCCAATGTACACTAACCACTGGGAATCACTTAGAGTAACACACAAGTATCTGCAGGAATGAAGAGTCCATACTGTACTTAAGAAATGTCCCAAGAATTCTATGCACTAGGGATTAATTAAAAAGAAAAGAGAGGGGGAAAAAAGGAAAAGAAAAGCTGGTGGAAATCAATATGAAGAAGCTGGATCTTTAACATAATTGCTGTAGCTAAAATATGAGGCAACTAAGAGACATACACACACACAGGAGCATTCTATTACCTGGATGGATGGGTATGTTCTGTTGTTGTCTGTGCTGTGCTCCCCTGGAATGCTGCCTGCTGATCGCCCTTCACATTTGTATCTAAAACGCATTCCCCTTTGCCTGGGTTGCTCAATTATCTCTATACATGGGTTAAGCCCACCTGGAAATTTTAAAAGGGGGAAGAGTGAGATTACAATCAAAATAATAATGGATTTTAACCATTTCATTTTTTAGAAAACAGTAGTCTAAAAAATGTTCCCTCTCTACTAAATAACAAGGTTGAAATGCAATTATCCAAGACTGGGTGGTGAAGACACTCCTCTCTCATTCAAATTGTACTCCCTTACTGTGTAAACACAAGTCACTCAAATCATATTTACTGGTTAGCACTTTATCATTTAATATCTGTAACTAATGCTACCATGAAGTTCTGTGATAACCACTTCAGAGATACCCACTTACATGAGACCAAGCAGAAGGGTTTTCCCCCAAAATTCTCCCAGAAGGGTCAAGAAGATAGTCTTCAGAAGTACAATATTATATTCCAAAAGTGACTTTGCTTGATTTTACATTAGACTTATCTTAACAGTGGGCTAAAAGACTGTTCATTGAAAATAAAAATGTATTTAAATCCTTGCAGCAGGAAATGTTAAGTTTTTTTAATATCTCCATTGGACTCTTAAAGGACTTACACATAGTACATCAAAACAACTTCCAGAAGGGATTTAGGTTCAAAAGAATTTTCAGTCAGTCCCTCTAAAGTATAAGACACAATAGAGGAAAATAATTACTTACTTTCTATAATGAATGTAATTCAAAATATACCTTTAGAATGAACTACTGACACACACAACAATGTGGATGAATACCTAAATATGCTGAGTGAAAGAAGTCAAATCAAAAGTGCACATAATTTTATGTGCGATGATTCCATTTACATGCAACTCTAGAATATGTAAACTAATCTATAATGAAAGAAAGCAGATCACTGGTTGCCTAAGCATAGGGGTATGGAGTGGATGAGGAACTTTAGAGGACAACAGACATGTTAATTACTTGACTGTGGTGATCTCAAAATTGTATAAATATGTCAAAAGTTATCAAACTACACACTCTAAATATTGTACGTTAGTTATATGCCAATAAATTTGTCTAAAACAAATGCACCTTTATCGCCTCTTATTATCCAAATCATGGAAATGACAGTTAAATAAAGCACACCAGTGTGCTTACAAGTAGGATATTAGCAATGTATCTTTATTTCTGGGGTATAAAGATGTCTTCCATGAAAAAACCCCAAATCAAAAACCACAACCCCCCAAAAAACCCCTCCCTCAATCAGTTTAGTGATTTCTAAACTCCCACAATTAGATATCCATTTATTTAACTAAAGGCTTATCCTCTGTTAGGATGCAAGCAAATCTTCAGAAAGGGTAACACAGTGGATCTTTTCAGTGCAGTACGGGGAAGAGGCCTTTTGAGTCCTACTCAGCCACTTCCTAACACTGAAGACACTGGAAATATTATATCTCTTAAGCTTTCTCCTCTATAAAATGGACATAATAACAATAACACCTATCACATAGGATGTTGTGAGGATCAGAGATAACAATGTTAGTTTCTTACCAAGTGTCAGGCATATAACAAATATTCAATAAATGGTCTATCATTATTCTAGATGTTTTATTGAAAGCAATAATTTATAGCATATAATTAAAGCATATAATTTATCCTGCTACTTTCAAGTATAACAACTACTTTCAAGGATCTTACAGAAAAATGTAGCAAACAACACAAATTATTAGACTATAGAGGAAAGAACAAAACAAAATTTTTTTTATGCTAACAAAATTCTGCATAAAATGATAATAAGAGCAAAAGAGTCAGGAAAGCCTATCTATGTCAAGGAAAACAAAAGTTACTGAAATACTGGGTGGGGAGTTAGGAGAAGGAAGGAAGAAAGGCAGGCATTTCAAGGGAAAGGGAAGAGGGTGTCCAAAGGTAGTGGCAGAGAAAAAAAGAGCTAAAGAATCACAGGACAGCCCCAGTGGAGCTAAGATACACTTCTACCCTTAGAAAGAAAACCAGACCAGAGTACATCTGGGGAATCGGGGTTTCACTCTGAGTGACAGAAAATCAATTAATGGTTTTATGTGGGGGAATCACACGATCAGATTGACATTTTAGAGTAAGAATTCTGGTGGCAGTGGACAGACTGGAAAAAGAGAAAGCAAGGCGATCAGTTTAGAGGCTGTTACAGCAATGTGGGCGATAATGAGGGTATACGTGAAATTTGGTAGTGGTAACAGGAGTGAAGGATTATTTACAAGACAAAATTGACAGTACTTGGTGACCGAGTGAACATTAGGGTAAACAGAAAGTAAAGAATCAATGATGGCTCTATATTTTCTAAGTAAAATATTATTGGTATCTTTAATTCTACTGTTTGGTTTAGACTCTTTCTGCTTGAATTTACTATCTATTTGTTTACTCCAAACACAAACAGCCAGAGAAAAGTGACTTTAAACTAATCAAATTTATAATACTCATTTCAATTTTACTGAAAAATGTAAGGCATACAGATGAGTATTTCAATTTCACATCTTTGGGAGGGATAAATCAGGAGACTGCGATTGACATCTATACAGTACCATATATGAAACAGATCACTAATCAGCATTAATCACTAATTCATAACCGTATATGAAACAGATCACTAATCAGCATTAATCAGTAATTCATAACCATATATGAAACAGATCACTAATCAGTAGAGCACAGGGACATGCTCAAGACTCTAATGACCCGTATGAGAAAAGAACCTAATACAAGTGGCTCTGTGTGTGTGTACACATATGTATATTTATACATGTATGTATATGTATGATTCACTTGGCTGTACAGGAGAAACTAACACAACATTGTAAATCAACTATGCTCCAATAAAAATTAATTTTAAAAAAGTCAAAACAATTTCACATCCTTATATATATATCCTCATTTATTTCAAATAATCAAATTCACATTTCAGTTTCAAATATTTCACATACTTACAAATCCTTGTAGAAGTATTTAAAAGAAAGTACATTTTCCTCTCAAAATTAAGTTCAAAATACTCAACAGTATTTTTTAAGTAATATCTTAAATCATCTATGTGGTTGAACTAAAGGTCAAATAAATCCCTGCCCACTGCTTATTTAAAGGTATCTTAGTGGGAAGTTGATACAAAATGACATCATTAATGGTAAGTGGCTAACTTTTAAGGGAGGAGTGTGAATAGAAGTGCTAGGCTTAAAGTGAGCATTCAAATATTTTTCATTGGTTATACAACACCTCCTTAAACTAAAAAGTGTGTTTAAGAAAAAAGTTTGTGGACAAGAGAAGAGAAAAGCAGTTGTTGAAAGATTAAATAAAACATTTTAAAAAGATGTTTGAATACTAAGAATGACATATATTAGTTATCATATAATATCAAGTACTTTTAAAACCCCTGAACTCTCTTCTTCCTATTGCAGAAGATCTTTAATGGTAAAAAGTCTGACAATCAGAGTCTATTGTAATATCCTCCATTCCCCTAGCTGGAAATAATCTCCTGCTCTAAACTACTGCAGCATTTTGTTTATGGCAATTATTGCAAATAACTGTGAGGGAAGACTTACTGTTTTATTTCTTCTTAAAAAAAAAAACGCCATTTGTTTTATTTCTTCAAGCTACCTGGAGGCAGGAATTGTGTCTTACTCATCAGTGTCTTGCACAGATATTCAGGAATTATCTGTGGAATGAATGACTGAAAATCTGGAGATCTTTTTGTTTGTGTAAATCATGCAAACAATGAAGGACTATATTAATAACTATTTGGATTTTCCTTATTAGGTTCTACCACTAGGAAAAATATATGCAGAGTACATCATGAGAAACACTGGGCTGGAAGAAGCACAAGCTGGAATCAAGATTGCTGGGAGAAATATCAATAACCTCAGATATGCAGATGACACCACCCTTACGGCAGAAAGTGAAGAAGAACTAAAGAGCCTCTTGATGAAAGTGAAAGAGGAGAGTGAAAAAGTTGGCTTAAAGCTCAACATTCAGAAAACTAAGATCATGGCATCTGGTCCCATCACTTCATGGCAAATAGATGGGGAAACAGTGCAATCAGTGGCTGACTTTATTTTTGGGGGCTCCATAATCACTGCAGATGGTGATTGCAGCCATGAAATTAAAAGACGCTTGCTCCTTGGAAGGAAAGTCATGACCAACCTAGACAGCATGTTAAAAAGCAGAGACATTACTTTGCCAGCAAAGGTCTGTCTAGTCAAGGCTATGGTTTTTCCAGTGGTCATGTATGGATGTGAGAGTTGGACTATCAAGAAAGCTGAGCACACAAGAATTGATGCTTTTGAACTGTGGTATTGGAGGAGACTCTTGAGAGTCCCTTGGACTGCAAGGAGACTCAACCAGTCCATCCTAAAGGAGATCAGTCCTGGGTGTTCATTGGCAGGACTGATGTTGAAGCTGAAACGCCAATACTTTGGCCACCTGATACGAAGAGCTGACTCATTTGAAAAGACCCTGATGCTGGGAAAGATTGAAGGCCGGAGGAGAAGGGGATGACAGAGGATGAGACGGTTGATGGCATCATTGACTCAATGGACATGAGTTTGGGTAAACTCCGGGAGTTGGTGATGGACAGGGAGGCCTGGCGTGCTGCAGTCCATGTGGTCACAAAGAGTCAAGACACGACTGAGCAACCGAACTGAACCGACTAGGGAAAAAGTTTTAAGTGCTAAAATCACTATACCTTCATACTCCTCATATCTATTCATATTCTAATTTCTTTATCTATGTTTATAACTTTAAAAAGCTTCCCACTTATAAATCATTTATAATATCATGCCTCTGTACAGTGTATCAGTGACTTTCTTCCTCAGTACCCTGTTTTAAAGTGCTGTCCTTCTTGAAGATAAAAAGTGGTGAAATGCAATCATTTATGGAGTGAAAGACAGTAAAACATAAATTAGGGAATTGTAGAGAAAATGAGTACTCTTAACTAAGATTATCTCAATAGAAATGTCTTCAAAACTGGTTTTAAGCAAGTAGATCACTGTACTTTTCTTTAACCTATATTATGCAAAGCTGGGATTGACTCCTAAATTTTTAACA